AAAAAAAAAAATTCCAGCACATAGCCTCCGCAGTTTTGCTGTCATGATAAAAGGAGCTGTAGTGGAAACATATTTTCGCTGTAAGTGGGTGTAAAAGATTTCACTACCAGCAGAAAAATGTAAAGCAGGAAATATATTCTCAAAAAAGACAATGTTTCTCTTGCTTTATAGAGATAAAATGTGAATTTTACTATAACTTTCAAATTCATATGCATTTGAACTTCAAAGGTTTCTGTGTCAAAGAGAATTTAAGTTGGAAGCATTTACCAGTATCCATTGAATAGTCAGTAATGCTGTCAGTCTACAGGTATACTTAAACTGAGTGACAAAAGCACACATGATTAATAAGATGAGGATGGTGTTCCTTCATGTGCTGGTGTTAAGAAACCAGCATTAAGCTCTGCTGACCTCTCTTTTTAACCTCTTTTGCTGGAACTATAAGTAGAATATTTAGTTAAATTGAAATGTCAGCACAAATCACAATATCACCTGTAAAACAGAATGGTGGGTGGATGGAGGGCTTACAGTAGTCTATTATAATTTCTGATAAAAGCAGGATTAGCTGCAGTGAGACAAACATATTCAGAATGGTTTGTTATGAAGATGGTGGAGCAACAGTCTGAATCTCATCTCATCTGCCTTTTGGCTTTTAACTTGTGCAACTCAATGTCCAGAGACTAAAGAATTAGTTTCAACTAGAATGTTAGTGACAGTACTAGAATGTTAGATATTTTAGTCTGATTTAACTATTGATTTTCAACTGATATAAAAGTTTTCAACTAAAATTTTATCATGGTATCTGTAAGCTGTCTGATCATAGTCTAAAAAGAAGGCATGACACTTATGTAGCTTTTAGCATTGTGACTTCTGTATATTCTTATGTCATATTTAATTAACCAGCATTTACTTCGGGTTTGAACCTTTATAAAGGTAGTAGAACTTTCAGGTTGTTTCCTTTCATTCACCCAGTTTCCTAGCAATGCTTTTGACTGTCTAAGGGAAAAGCTGAATGGTTCCATTTCAAAGGACAAAAGTATAGATGCAACAGTTACCAACATATATTTATCTGGTCAGATTCAGACTTAAAATCAGTCCTGCTGTTTCCTTTTCTATCCAACATCTATAATCAGTAGCAGAGAGGAGTGGTGTTGGACAATAGGCAGGCCGAGAGCTTGATTTCAGTTCCCCTCACCAACTAATGTTGAATTGTGCCGGAGAAACACACCGAACGCTACTGCCTATTGATCGGTGCATCCACGTGTTCTTGTATGTGTTAGTATGTGTTTCTCAGTCAGTAGTAAGTGTGCTGAGAGCTGTAACACGAGGCCTACTAATTTCTTTCAGTTCAAAATCTTTTTTTTAGAGCAACAGATCTGAAAAAAGAAATTCACTATTAACTAATGAATCAATAGAACTTTTGAAAGAAGATAAAAAAATACTAACTTAAGTGCTGGTTGCGCATTCAATTATTAAACGATCTATCTATCTATCTATCTATCTATCTATCTATCTATCTATCTATCTATCTATCTATCTATCTATCTATCTATCTATCTATGGCAATTAGCGAGACAAAAAACTTATGGCTCTGCATGTAGGGACCACAGACCACTTCTCAGTACTTTTCTCTGCTTTCCGGCTGATGTTGTGGTCACATTTGAATGTTGGTGGTGCTTTCACACTCATGGTAGCATGACAAGGACTCCACAACCCACACATGTGGGTCAGGTAATGTGGCTCATCTAGGATGGCACTTCAATGCGAGCTGTGTTAAGAAGGTTTGCTGTGTCTGTCAGCGTTGTATCCAGAGGCTGGAGGTGCTACCAGGAGACAGGCTAGTGCACCAAGAGACATGGTGGAGGCCGTAGGAGAGCAACAACCCAGTAGCAGGACCTCTGCCTTTGTGAAAGAAAGAACAGGAGGAGTGTCAGAGCCTTGCAATAATGGTTAGAAACAGACTCCATGAGGATGGTATGAGGCCAAACATTCACAGATGGGGGTTATACTCACAGTCAAACACTGTTTAGGATGCTTGACATTTGCCAGAGAACATCAGGATTGGCAAATTTGCCACTGACGCCCTGTGTTCTTCTCAAATGCAAGCCGGTTACCACTGATGGATGTGACAGAATCTGAGGACAACGTGAAGAGCAATCTACTGCCTGCAACATCCTTAAACATGACTGGTGTAATGATTCTTTCTAAGGCTCGGAACAACATGGAATGAAGCCAAACAGAGAGACACAATATAAAAGTTCAACGGGTTTTATTGAAGGGTATATTGAAGGGTATGAGCAGAGTTCCTCCGAACTCTGCTCAGCAAGAAACTTGAAGACGAAGGGGAGACAGGCTGGTAGGTACAGGCTCAGTGGGAAATTGGAGTTGTCAATCTTGAAGGAGATGATTTGTTGCCACTCACGTTTCCAGAGAAGTAGAGACACTTAGACTTCAGTCTGTGTGATGGTCTTCCAGAGAATGTTTGATTCGCTGGAGGGCGGAGCAGGGTTTACCCAGAACTCGGACGGAGTGGAATGATGCAGCCGCTACTTGCAACTCAGTTTTCCTGTGGTACTTGAACGGGTCGTGGTGAAGATGACTTCCTCACTCAGAGAGTGATCTCAGCGTGCTCAAAGATGGCTGGATCCAAACCTCCTGTTTGGTATTCGTCGCTCAGTGTAAGGCTCAGTTGATCCCACTTGGGAGAGGGCGGTCCGAAAAGGTCCAGTTTGCAGGAAGAGCTTCCTGCCGAAAGGCAAAGAACAAACAAAGTTGAGACTCAGAGAGAAACAAGCGCTTAGTTAAACTCAATGTGATTTCAGTTTGGCTGGAAAACAAAAACTCAAAAAATGCAAAACTCAGATTAGACTCAGCATAAACAAGGCTTGGCTAGAGTACCCCAAACTGGCAAGCACTCTGGCATCGAAGTAGTGGCGCCTCCTGGTGGTGGAAGAGAGAAACACAAACACTGGTTTGGAAGTGGGTCAGTAATAGTGTGTGAGGTGCCATTTCTTTGGAGGGCCACACAGCCCTCCATGTGTTCTCAAGAGTTATCATGGCTGCCCTTAGGTACTGAGATGAGATCCTCAGACCCCTAGTGAGACCATATGTTGGTGTGGTTGGCCCTGGGTTCCTACTAATGAGGAACCATACAATACCTCATGGCTGGAGTGTGTCAGCAGACCTCACACAAGCACAATGCAACCATTATTTATACCTGTTTTCAGCATGTAGTATATTTTTCCACTTTAATTTTGTGCGTGACTCCAAGTCCAGGCCATAGATAGATAGATAGATAGATAGATAGATAGATAGATAGATAGATAGATAGACGGACGGATGGTCTGTCTAGTCCTGATCACTGCAGTTAATCTCTAACCGCTCATTTCAACCTCCAGCATAAATGAGCAGTTGATGCAGGAAGATATTTAACCAGTTTTGCGGTACTAATATTGAACCTAACAATAAATCCAGCTTTGGTACCCCATGTACTAGTTTTCATGGCCTTCTTTCATTGCAAAATAAAAAGCAACAAAAATAATAATGATTAAAAAAAACCTTCAGCTTAATGTATTATTGTACAATATAAACCCTTCTGAAATTAAACATTGGTGGTCCAACAGAGTCTTGTTTAAAAAGAGGCATGCAGCATGTACACAAAACCTATCCAAAAATCTAGACTATGCTATTATGCAAAATACCAGAATTTAGATAAAAAAGAAATGAAAAAAACCCTACAATAAACAAAATAAGCAAAGTGTGTAACAAAGAGGGTATAAACAATAAAAAAGTAAAACATAAATGATTAAAAGAAATAAAATAATGATTGTTACAAATAATTGAAAGCATGCATCATGATATTTTATATTAGTTTAAGAAAAAGGAAATTTAGATAGGAATCTCTTTAGCTGCTGTGAGAAGAGTTCAGACTTTTAAGACCACGTCAATACATCAAATCAAGGAGCTCGTTTAGGTACAACAGACTAGACAGATTCACTCAAGTTTTAATTACTGAGCCTTGAACCTATCAGAGACTTTGGTCTAAAATCATCAGTGCTTTAATATTTCCAGACCTAAAGTCAGGATTATCACATGGATATTAAAATGACCATGTAACCAGTGCATTCTGTGGTTGCCATAAAATGGAGGTTGTTTGAGAGACAAACCAGTTTGGAGGTTCTAATCCTAAAGAGCCTCAATAGAAATGAAGTTACACTGAGATCTCAGCTACACCCAATTCTTTGCAGTTTGCAAAAGTTAATTTATGCACTTTTTATTTTTCTCAACAGTTGCTAACAAAGGTGTAATTTGAGTTTATCTCATAAACATTCCAGACCTATAACATGCTTTATTATTATTCGAATTGCTAAGTTGTAGTGACAATCCCCAAATAATAACAAGAAAAGGGGAGTTGTTCAATCAAGGGTTCAACCCTCGGATTCAAATATGGCCAATTTTTGAATCTGAGGGTTCAGATTCTGACTTCCTGGGAGCCCCCAATGAAATCTTCACAAATTTCATTGGGAAAGTCAGAATTTTACAAATAATCATGGTTCAAATCTTAAAAATGTAATAGTGAGATTGTAAATTTATCAGTACATTAAGCCAACTTATTGCTGTAACATGTAGCTTTATATAACATACAGCTGTGGAGCCTAAACATTAATTTACAGACAGTTACATGTAAACCACCAGTCTCTATATGCTTTGTTGGGGAGTAAAAGTGTTAAAATTGCTGCTTCCGTTAAATTGTGACAGACATCAGAGCAACTGGATAGGAAGTAGGTTAGTCACATTGTCCGGCTGTGTAATTATGTGTCAGCACACCATCATTATACGTATATGCAACCTCACTTTCTATGCAGCATTTTAGTGCAGTTAGTATCTGTCCTTTTTTGTGGCATGAAGGAAATAAAATGTGAAATATGAATGAGATATGAACCACAAGCTGCATCGAGTTAACTAATAAAATCACTGAGTCACCGCACGTTTTGTACTTCCAGGTGTTCCTGCTGTTTTTGTCGCAATCTGGGCAATCGTCAGGGCAACACTGGCAGATGCAAGGTAAAAATAAAATAATTGTGTGGGTGCTTTTCTAAAGGCACTATTGCATATTTTTATCTTTATCAAAATGCACAGATTAGAGATCAATAAACATTTTGAACTCAATGAAACAAGACAAACCATCTTCATAGGTAAGTATGGAAGAGACAAAAGCCGACAGCACAATTAGAGTCTAATTCTGGTGACATTTGAGTCACCCGTGAAATCCAATTATACAAGGTTAATTTAATATGCAACATAGTTATGAACAAAAGCTGACACACAATGCAACAGGTGGGGACTTTAGAAATAATTGCTGTGGAAGGATGAAGTTAAATCTAAGTACATCTCCCAGGGTATGTTTGGAGCTACAGTTGATGAAAAGAACATCCTTCCTGGTGTTATTCAGAAAGGAGAAATTATTCTGCTGTGGAGCTATGAATCATTTTCCAAACCTTTTTCTCTGATTGAAAGAGAAACTTCAAATCTGAGACAAAATTATCTAAAAATGTGAAAAGGAGGAAAGGAAACAATGGGAGCCATAAAAGAGAAAAGTTCAAACCAGAACCACGTAAAAAAGGTGATGTCGCAATAACATAAAAAAAATTGTAACTCAATTCAAAATATGTTTTGAATATGATTAACTACTCATTTTCTGAATACCTTTTTCTTTTTCTGTTAAGGTCTAATATTTGCTCCCATTCACTACTACGTACAAACCCCTCCCTACATTCTGACACTCCCTGGGAAAGATGTGCAAGAAGCCTAAAAATAAACCTTTAATTGCTGTAACTCACACTAAAAACAACAAACTTGAGAATAAAATATACAACTTTCATGTTTTTGTCATGTGCAGGCAGAAAGTATGTACCCCCAAGAGACGTTTATACAGTTTATGAAAAGGTTGCCTCTAGATTCATATGAGGCCCCCTGCATTGTTTGATAATTACAATCATTTGGTCTGAATGTACTTGACTTGGAAGTATGAATAAATTAAATCGACTGTTTTTGCAAAGTGCTTTGAGACAAGGTGATAATTAGAGGTCTCGGTTTGCCAAATGCTTTGATTCATTATGTCATCAGAGATCCATCCGTGGCCAATTTTTGGTGTTCTAGCAGAGGCCGCTAGATCTTTGTTTAAAACCTCCTGGTATTTCCATGGCTTTGTTATACCATGTGTCATAACCAAGCTCCTGTGCACTTGGAAGAAAAAATGCCTACAGCATAATGTCTTCACTGTGTATAGTGGCAAGATATATTTGACTTTATATCCTACCTCAGAGAAAAAGAAAGTCAGATTAATTTTAAAAGAATCAAATTTGCCATTAAATTAAGGAGTGTAGAAATAAAAGTATAAATACATATTTCAATACAAAGAATTATCTGCCCCAGTCATATAGGTTAGATTATTTTGGAAGGAAAATGCTGTGATATTTTGTCCTTCATGTCTTTTGACCTGTAATGTAGAAATATCTCTGGTTAACCATCTCTCTTACTCAATGAACACTATAGATGTGCACCAGTATTAAATAAAATGGTGCCGATATTGTAATATTGGTAAATAAATATCTTTTCCTGCTAATTAGATGTATTGAATCAAAGGTTTTATTTGCCCATTTTCATCAGATATGCTAAGATTTCTTGTCATGTCACTTAAAATCCATCTGGTACACCTATTCAGATTATTAAATGAAATTTTCACAGCATTTAAACAAAACTATATAATTTTAACAATTGCATTTTATTAAATTTGATTTTCAGTCTATTTTTTCTGTTTTCTCCATTTGATCCAACATCAGGTGCTGGGAGTTGAGTGCTGGTAATATTAAGTGGATTTACCAGGTACCCATCTTGACAGCAATAGGGGTAAGTGTGTACAACAAGGATTATATAAAGTTTAACTTTATTTGCTAAAATGAAAATGTATCATGGTTGGTTTGCTATATAAAAGTAGGGATAGGAAAATCAAGTTAAGAGATTTAATGTGTTTCCCTGCAACATACAGTACTTCCCCCATAAGCTGCAAACAGTAAATTTTGGAGTACTGATGCGACTAATCAGAAAAAAAAAAAAAAAAAAAGCACTTTCCCCTGATTGATGGTCTATTTTAGAAGCCTCTGGGCATGAGAAAAAAAAAATCATTATCCTTTCTCAAAATGTAACTCATGGCTCTTTTGCTGCTCTGCAACATTTAAAGTGGAATATCTGACAGTATGTAGCGTAAATTATGAATAATTCTGGTGTTTTTTATTGTCTGAAGCATCATTTCTTGAGTTCTAATGTGGATTTCAGATTTTTTCTTAAAGTTTTTTAGGGTGCACATCTTATGTAGGCACCTTAGCCATGCATTATAGAGAATTATAATATAGTCTCTAATTAAATCACTGCATGTAGTATGTGTGTAAATGTGACAAGAACTGTGACACGATAAAAGAATACTTATAAACTGACTTGATCAGCGTCTTTCCATCCGTATGAATTTAGTGCAATCTGCTTTGTGAATTCAGTGTAGAAATAAGGCTAAAGAAGGAAAAAGACATTTTTATGCTTCGCAAATGTATTTTCCAGCATATTTTGGGATTTCTACTTGATTATTTATTATTATTTTGTTTAGAGGGTTCCATTATCCTGTTTATTAATTTTGCCAATCACCTTTGTTGTTAGTGTCGTATCAAAAAGTTAATTAGTTGCTTTTACGGTTTTGAGTATTTGTGGGGTTTGATTTACTCTGTACATTTTTTGTTTTCTCATGTTAGTAAAAGGTGTTTCACTTTTGATTTGTAGATTGTTCTGCCACTCTGTTCGACTACCTTTGTGTTAATTTGTCTGCCTACTCAGTCTGTCGCAGTTGTTCCACATTTTCCTCATCTCCACTCTCTTTGTGTTGATATTATTAAAAATTGTATTGACTGCATGTTTGCAAAGAGTTCCAGTGATAACATAATAAATAATTCTGGACTATATCAAATGTTATTTGGTCAGTGCGTAACATTAAAATGTCCCCTTCTCAGATAAATAGGAATGCATAATAATTAAAAAAGAAATAATAACTAAGTTCTAGTAGAGACACACTGTCACTGTGTGCCACATCTAAATACCAGAGGACAGAACCAACCTCTGCTTTTCAAACATGATCAGTCTCTGTCTGGAGGTAGTAGTCTTGCAATGAAAAAGTCGTTGTTGTCAAGCTGTGTCTGACCCTCCACCCTAATCACTATATAGGGCACTATACAGTGTTTACACCATTTTAGACAATTGTCCGAACGTCTAGAGCAGGCATCCCCAAACTCGGTCCTTGAGGGCCACTGTCCTGCAGGTTTTAGAGGTTTCCCTGCTTTAGCACAGCTGATTATCATGAATGCAGTAGAGCAGAAGCCTGTTTATCAGCTTTCAATTGAAATCAGCTGTGCTGGACCAAGGAAACCTCTAAAACGTGCAGGACAGCAGCCCTCGAGGATACCTGGTCTAGAGGATGAAAACATAGTGCACTCGAAATTTCCCAGAATGCACCTTGAAAAGTAGTGATCATCAATGGTCACTAGACTAGCATAAATATCCCAGATTGCTTTGCTTTGTTAGAGTTCTCCTTGCAAAGCATCATGGGATTTATTCTGGTGGCAAGAAAAGATAAATAGAGTACAGGCACTGCGCGGGGAGTCAAAATTACCTGACAGGGAGCGAAAAGTAGTAATCATCTGTCTGAACGTTCAGTTAACTGCATTAACTATAAAGTCCACTATATAGTCCAGCTTTGAGATTGAAGGTTTTAGGGGTTATGGTGGACTTTTGTTTCACAGCCTCAGTCTCAGTGTTGCCAATTCCTCAGCAAGAAAAGTCACTATTGGCTATCCTAAAAGACACTACATGACACCATTACAGGACGACAGTGGCGTTGGATGTAGGAGTTTGCCCTGCAATTGAAGGGTTGACGGTTCAAGCCCCGACTCCGACTTTCAGTGTCGTTGTGTCCTTGGGCAAGACACTTCACCTGCATTGTCTACTGATGGTGGTCAGAGGGCCCGGTGGCGCCAGTGTACGGCAGCCCCGCTTCTGTCAGTGAGCCCCAGGGCAGCTGTGGCTACAATGTAGCTTGCCACCATCAGTGTGTGAGTGTGTGTGTGTGAATGGGTGAATGAATGTAGTGTAAAGCACTTTGGTCAAGTCTCCTAACTTGAATAAAGGCGCTATATAAGTACATGCCATTACCTAATTTGTGTATTTCATTTTATCCAACTGCAGGAGATTGTGAATCCCTCCTAGAGTTTTGGGGATTTTTTGTGTCAAAGCAGAGTAGAGAGATATTAGGATAGTTAAAAGAAGAAAAAAAAAACTACAGGGGATTTTATGTTTAATAGAGACATTTCCAGAAACAAGTAAATAACAATACATATAATTCAGCCATTAAAAAAAAAAAAAAAAAAAAAAAAAACTACTACTACTGTGCAAAGAGACACAAAGACAGGAGTAGCAGAAAAGGAGAGAATGAGGCTGTAGAGTCAAAAGGCATTTATTTTATGTGAGACAACTGTCGTTAAAAAAATATTTTACTGATTCTACTTTAAAATCTGTATTCGAAGTGCCCCTCATTATGCCAGCTTATGGATGCAATTTCAACACAAAAAACACCCCCAAAAAACAAAACACCCCCGCTTGATTTGGGGTTAGAGGCTTTTTTTTTAAATAAAGGCACTAGAGGGATCTGAAACTTTGCTGAATGTAGCAACCAAAGCAACAAATTGGCAACTGGTCAGTATTTACATTTATACCCTTCTGAAATTAGTTTAAAAAAGGCTAATACATACTATATTATTATATGTTTTAGCATGTAGAACCATGCTACCATTTTCTTTCCCGCACCACTTTAACTTGAACAACCTTTTCTGCTGCCATCCTGATAGCCTCACAAAAGCACCTACTCCCTTCCACCGTGCTTCATAGCTATTCACCATCTCTACTATCTTAGAAAGGAATTTACTGAATTAGCCCAGAAATAGTTCTTTATGAAGTGTAGAACATTATGAATAACTGTGAGGGGGCTGTAAATTCAAAATAGACGTATACCAAAAACCAATTACATGTATATTAATTTATCACACCGTAATACTTATATGAATGCCAACAACAAAAAAACATTGTAAAAACACAAAAGCAAATATGCAATTTCATGTAGAAGTTTAAATTTTGTAAATAAATTTTGCCCCTCTGAGGCTTTGTGAAGGCAAATCTGTGTTTTGCATTGTCCAATAGTGTGTCACAAACCTAAAAAAAGAATATACCAGTTTAATTAATGGAGAAGCTATTAGTCACGTTTATTTACTTTATATATATATATATATATATAAACTCTTTTTTTTTCTGAGAATGTGTTTATTTAAGAACTGTGCAAATTAACAAACTAGAAAAGTGTACTATATTATACTATATTCCATGTGAATCCCAGATTGTTCATTCTTCTTTGCCTTTACTAAAAAGTGTTTTAAATCACTCCTGCCTGTCTTTATGCAGGGTCAGATCCTGATATTTGAAAAAGGAGGCACACATTTGAAAAAGGAGGCATGTAAAACATGATAAAGAATATTTCATTATGCATTGTCTTTATGGCTGCTTCCCCCCCAAAAAAAAACAAGAAATAAGCTAATACAAAATATATATTACAGACTGCACAGTGTTGAATGGCCATTTCTAACTTGTGTTGTCTCAGCACTCATGTATAATTAAGTTGCCAAAAAGCGGCAACTGGAAAAAATCTCCTGCTGATTGTAATCAGCAGCTACATTTTTTTTTTTGGTTGGGACCTGTTTCTTGCTTGATTTAACTATTTATTTTCTAAAGATTCATGAATGTAAGTGTACTGGAATTAAATAGTATTGGTCAATCATTCAAAATGTGTTCAAGTAATATTTTCTCATTTATACAGAATATTCTTTTTAGAATACACCAAAGTGTAAATAAGATATGGGAAAAAGGCCCCAGGGTAGCATAGTGTTTTAACTGTAAGCATGATCACACAACAGTGCTTAGAAAATCAGAGCACATTTTTGCTTTGGATTGAGTGACTAAAGTGGTACATTTTGTCCCCTGTGCTTGAATCTATTTCTCTCACGCTCCAGTTTCCTCACACAGTCCAGAAACTAACACAGTGATTTCTTTGGGGATTGTAAATTGGCCGTGGCATGGGGGGCTGATGGCTGACAAATTTTATACGGTTTACCATTTAACCATTCACATACGCTCTTTTAGTTCTTCTGTATGTGTAGACGTTATTTGCACATTATCTTCGGGGCTTAGTGTCTTGCCCAAGGACACTTCAATATATAAAACAGTTGTTCTCTTCCTATTGGAGGATATTTGGAGATGGCTCTCCACAGCTGAGCCAGCCCAGCATACTGCACAAAGGAGGAAGATATTTGGTGCTATACTGACTGAGGGATGTTACTTCCGAAATGTTTATATATAGGATTAAACAACTTACTGCAAAAGAAGCATTACCAGATTCATTTTTCTCCTTCTGCATGTTTAATTAGGATGTCACATATTGTAGCTAAAATACAATCCTTCAATTAGAAAACAGGGAATTAGAAAACAGGGTTTTCTATACTGCATAGGGTTTGATCTTTTTTTAAACAACAACCTGTGCCTTACTTACACAATATGTGCCAAAAAAGTTGATTTATTGCTCATCCATTTGTATCCATCTTTATCTGCCTTTATGAGATAGGATCAGAAAGGCATCTGTTTCAGCACAACAACTCACATACCCCTCACTTTAAAGGTTTTCACTGATGACATCTGTTGTTCTTTCAGAAAGATTTTGGATTGTTTTTAAAATTTATATTGCACCTTTTCACAAGTAAATTTTATCGAATAATACAGACATATTAGGTCAAAAAAGTTTTTATTTACAACTGATATTA